TCCCACAACCAGAAGGGCCATCGAGTTGGAGTTCGCCATGGCGATCTTCACGACCCATTCTGCAGAGCCATGCTACATTCCACAGGAGGATCGAAACAAACAATTGAGGCTTCTCGTGGAGCAGTTTGCTCGAGACACTGAGAGATCATGCTCCAAGTTGGATCCTTTTACCCAGGCCATTGCCCAAACTGAGTTCTCCTACTATGAAACAGAGGAAACCCTCCAGAGCATTAAGAAGAGCCTCAAGGATCTTGAGCAAGTTTGTGCACAGCTTGCTCAAGATCCCCTTTCTGCTACCATAGAAGAAGAGGAGGAGGAAGGAGGCTACAAGGACATTGTGGAGCATAAAAAAGTTGTCACAAAGAGCTCCCATGATGATCATGATCAGAAATGTCTTGTTATAGCTGACCATACCTTTCCGCATCCCGCACCGAGAACTGAAGAGGTGGGCATGTGTGAGGATATGCAAGATGATCTCATCAAAGAAATTGCTTGGCGACTTGCTCTCCAATCCGTGCTAAAAGAAGAAGACCGAGAAAGGATGAGGAAAGAAGTTGTGGAGGATGACAGAAGTGAAGCAGAGGAAGTTCTTGTTCTTTTCCCAGGGGAGGAATCGAATTCTAAGGAAGGATGAGGGGTTGAAGAAGCAATTGGCGTCCAGGCTGAGGACAAAGTTGAGGTGGAAGAGGCTTGCACCGGCTATGAGTTACTTGTGATATCTCCACCAAATTTCGAGGAGCTACTTGGCAAGGACCCATTTTCAGTGTCTCTTTGCTAGATCAAGGTCACAACGACATCGGAGTCTAGCTGGAGTCTAGTTGGCAGGGTTTAGAGAAGCCATAGAGAGGTAGGATGAGAGCCTGAACACCTACCAGACTTTGAACGAGCAACATTGGGATACATTTGAGCAGGAGAGATAGATGGGGGTTGAGGTGACTCAAGCTTTGCCTGAGAGATAGGAGGCAGAGGACCACCATGTAGGAGATCGAGAAGTTGAGGAAGCTTCCTTTTTTTATTTTCTTTTGACATTTCGAGTCTCTTCAAACAATCATAGAGAACTATCAACTTTAGCGAATTTTGAACAACAATAAAGGTTACTCGTTCCAACTTTACCACGACTTACTATCTTTTAGTCCATTGAGTACAATTTTCATTTTAAAGTGCGAGGTGAGAATGGTTGATATGTTGTGCCATGATATGCTTACTTACCACATGATTTGTTATTCAATTTTCTAAATTTTTTTAGTGCAAGAATGGTTATGATACGTGCCTAACATTTTTGAAAGAACTAAAGATATTTTTTCATCTAATGAATTCTTGAAGGAAACAGCCTAGCCTTCATGATTGCCAGCCATTCATCAGCCATCTGCTTTTCAGCTACCTGGGCGACGCTTAACCATTGAGCAATAGCAGAGCCAATTCTAAAGACAAAAACTCGGCATGGTGAAGCAATGTCGCGAAAGACTCTGTAATTCCTTTCGAGCCAAATGGACCAGCAGAAGGCATGAAGGATTACCCTAGTGCACCATTGGGTCGGATCACTCAGTATCTGCGAGTTCCAAGTTTTAATTCTGGCTGAAATGGTTCTAGATCTGTTACACCTCCTATCAATCTTGACAAAGGCAGTAAGAGTGTTCCAAACCTCCAATGAAGTCTTGCACTTTACGAAAATGTGGTCAATGGACTCCTCTTCTTCCTTGGACAATGCACATCTATTCGGCAAGCAGAACCCTCTCCTTTTCAGATTGTCCAATGTTAAGATTCTCATATGAAAAACCGTCCACAAAAAAATGCAGAATTTAGACGGAATCAAATGAAGACATACCATTTTGGATGGGAAGTCGTCCACTCCAGGGAAGCTAGAATTTCAGGAAGTGAATGTAGGAAGAGCGGACGCTAAAATCGCCTGATGTCGAGCGATGCCAAATCAATCTTTTTGGACCTACAACAAGCTTAGACACAGGAATGTTGCCCAAAACAGAAAAAAGTCTCTCTCTCTCTCTCTCTCCCTCTCAGCCCCACCCAGAAGATCAACAGAAAGAGGAATATCCCAAAGAACAGACTCACCAATGATAGAGAAGCAATCGGCAACACGAGAGATCCTAGATTCCGCAGCAGCACACACCCTCAGGAATTCATCTGAAAGGCGAGTTCCTTTGATCCAAACATCAAACCAGAATGAAGTCAAATGCCCACATCATTGTTCCACATGAGCTAGATTCCATAACTTATCTTTTAATTTCGACATCTGAATCCAGGGGCTGCACCCCGAACTTCCAAAGCTACCACCTGCATCCCATTCGGAGAACAAAGGAGGGAACTTAGAAGCAATCAGTTCCCGCCACCAAGTATGTCTCTTAGTAGCAAATCTCCAGAACCACTTAAGGATGAGAGAGTGATTGTGAAGCCTTAGGTCATGAATTCCCAACCCACCCCGCTCTTTGGCCGCTTTGCACAGCTCCCATGAAACAAGATGAAACTTCTCTCTATCACAGGGACCAGACCAGAGGAAATCCCTTTAAATCTTTTCGATTTCTTTGACGACTCCACCCGAGACAAGGAAGAGGGAGCTAAAGTATCTGCTCTAGCTTGCAAGAACCGCGTTGATCAAAACAACCCTGCCGCTGATTGATAAAAAGTTTCCCTTCCACGATTCCAATCTTGATCTAGTTTTTGAAACAACACCATTCCAAATTGAAGGAGAAGCTGGATGGGCACCCAAGGGGAGCCCCAGATAAGTTTTCGGAAGAAATTTCCAGTTACAGCCGAGAATATCGGCGAATCTCTCAATATTCTGCACTTCTCCAACTGGGAATAAGCAGGTCTTTTCTAGATTGATTTTTAGACCAGTTATGCTTTGAAAGCAGGCCAGTGCAGCCAACACATTCCTCACTTCTGTTTCGCTGGCCTCACAAAAGATGATGGCGTCGTTAGCATAGAGAAGGTGAGTCACTTCTCCATGCCTCCCAGTCTCATCGATGAAGAAGCCTGACAATAGACCAGCTTCTCTGATTCTACACAACACGGAAGAAAGTAGGTCCATCCCCAAGTTGAAGAGGAAAGGGGATAAGGGATCCCCCTGTTTAACACCTTTTTCCATCCCGAAGTAGCCCACAGCTTCACCATTGAACAATATCGAAAGCTTGGTTGAAGAGATAATACCCTTAATCCACTTCAGAAATCTTTGGTGAAGTCCCATACTCGTCAGAGCCTTAAAGATGCATTTCCAATTAATGGAATCAAAGACTTTTTTGATGTCCAGCTTTATGACTAACCCCGGTCTCCCGCTCCTTCTTCCACTATCAATGACCTCATTGGCTATGAGGCTGGATTCGTGGATAAGTCTGCCCTTTTTTCCACCAAATTGCTGTCTGGAGATAATCTTGTTGAAGTGAGGCTGCAGGCGGAAAAATAGTATCTTGGAGACAATCTTATTGAGGCTACCAAGGAGGCTGATCGGTCTAAAATCAGGGACTTCCTCCACTGCATCTTTTTTCGGGATTAGACAAAGGAAAGAATGCGCAATAGAGTCCGGGAAAGATACTGTGAGGAAAAAGTCGTCCAAGGCCTTTAACAAATCTGTTTTGATCGTGCTCCAGCCTCTTTGAAAAACTCAAGGGTAAATCCATCAGGTCCTGGAGCTTTGTAACCATTGCACAGCTTGACAGCATTTCGGATCTCATTCAGTGAAAAAGTTTTCACCAGGATCTCGTTATCCTCCATTGAGAATAAGAAAGGCCTATAATCTGCAGGGAAAGGCCTAATAGTCTCGTCCTCTGTAAACTTGGCGAGATAAGCATTCTCAATACCTGCTTTGATTTTTCTAACATCATATGTCAATTCACCATCAATTCTCAATCTCCTAATGTTCTTCCTTCTTTGATTATGGCTGGCCATTTTATGGAAGACGGACGTGTTCTTGTCCCCCTTCTTAAGCCAAATTTCTCGAGATCTTTGGCGCCAACAGATCTCCTCCAGAAGTAGAACCTTTTCCAATTCGCACTTCAAAAAAGCTCTTTCATAAAACAATGGTTCGTCAAGCCTTCCAGACTCCTCTGCCCCATCAATATTCTTGATAGAAATGAGTAAATATGAGATCTTCTTTTCCACTTTCCCAAAGCAGTCCTGACTCCATTGCTTGATCAACATCTTAGTCTGCCTGCACTTTTGTCCAAACCTGAACAAATGACTGGTCCCATTGACAGGGATGCTCAACCATCCAGCCAAGCATGGAATGAAACTCTCCTCTTCCAGCCACATATTCTCGAACCTCCAGGGGCGGCGAATCTGATCCGTTTTTCCCAATTGAAGAAGAATAGGGTTGTGATCGGATTCCACTCTGTTAAGTGCTAACATCGATTCTGGGGAAAAGGAAGCCTCAAAATTAGCATTGATAAAGGCCCTATCGATGCGAGAGAGGGAGTTATCAGATCCCCCTTTACACCAAGTGAATCGGCTCCCTTGAAGCAATAATTCCAGCAGATTAAAACTATTGATGAAATTATTGAAGGCGACCATCAGATCAGGGTCTCTGGGGTTACCAATAAAGTCATCCTCAGACCTAACCAAGTTAAAATCGCCTATGATGCACAGGCCTGCCGAGTATTTGAGACACACAAATTCGAGGTCTTGGACAAACTCTAGCTTTTCTTCTTTCCCTTGAGGTCCATAGACAACCAGGAAGGAAATAATTTCTTTAGAATCTAGGATCTTTAGTCTAACTGCAAGGGAGTATTTACCTTCCCAAGTCAAAAGAGCTTTATACAGCTTCACATCCCAAAATATTGCAATACCTCCACTTGCGCCAACAGAGTTCTTGGCAGCCCAATCAACCGTTCTGTTTCCGCTAACTGAGAAAATAAGCATTTGGTCGCAGTCTTTCCATTTTGTCTCTGTCAATCCAATAGTAGAGGGTATCCTCCTTCTAAGGATCCTTTTAATTATTTCTCTTTTTTCAAGGTTCACAAGACCCCTAACATTCCAAGCGATGATAGAGTGGGTCATTGGGCTCTATCGCTGTCGGCAAAACTCCTTCCCCTCGAGCAGCTACAATTACACGATCTGCCCTGATTCACATTCACGTTCAAATATCCCGTTCTCTTCCGGGACCTAGGCTTCAAAGGAGGGCAAACATCAATACTGAGCCTGTGCTTTTCCATATCGAGCTTCGAACTAGGCTTCTTTCTCTTTCTGCAGTCCATATCCAGTACTGACTCTTTAACACTTTTCTCTGCCAGGGTGGGAGAGCCGTCGACCTGGAGTTGCAAAAGTGAACACATGTCAAGAGATGTCTTCATGAGCAAATCCAAGTCTTGTCGAGCCTGCCACTCCATAGTGTACTCTTGATTAATAGGGAAAAAGGGGATGATTGCAAGGTCATTCTCAGAGGAGGGGGAAGTTGGGGTAGGAGAAGAAGGGGAATCAGAGGGGAAAAAGGTTTCATTAAGCTCAGTGATGCAAACTGAGGAACCTGGAAGGGTAGGCAGAGGGATCGGAGTGGGGAAGCGAGGGAGGGATCGGGTGACAGGTCAAAACGAGGGGGAGTAAAAGGGAGGGGGTAAGACAAGATGGGGATCGAGAGAAAAGGGGGGAAAGTGCAAAGAGGAAGAAACTCAAGGGAAATGTAGCAATGCTGGACGCCAAAAAGGGGGGAGAAAGGGGTAGGGATGGGGATGGAAGCGAGGCTAAGGTTAATTTGCAAGCTGAATCGGATATGATAAGGCTGTGATAATTTGCAGGGTGACTGAGGACAAGGAGAGGATTGGAAACGGGGGGAGGAAACGGGATGGGCTTATCACAAATGTAGGCAAGGTTTAGGTTGGGCTCAGGTAGGGGAGCAGGGGTGGGCTCGGCTGAAACAGGAGAGGGTTGGGGGCCAAGAGAAGGGTCAACAACGGATGTGGGCCTAGGGAGGGGTCCAAATTTGCGGACCCAAACAGACTTAGTTTTCCTGGGTGGGAAGGGGACGTGATGAGAATCACCTCCCGAAACTTCATGTATGAAAGTCGGGGGCCGCATGCGACTGTTGGGATTTCGGTGCACGGGAAACGTAGCCACACGATCCTTAGAGCGGGCATAGGCACGCGGGGCACGAAATTCAGAAATTTTCAAAAGCTTCCGCCGTGACCGATAGCCTTCCAATAAGCGAGAACGATTCAGGTCGGCCGTTGATCGGACAGGCTCCGGCGAGGCTAGGATCCTGATAGTGAACAAAGTGGAGCCGAACAAGATCCAGACAGAGTCAGGGATAGTCTCTTTCATTTGGATTTTGATGTGCACACACGGATCAGACCAATACCCCTATCAAAGTCAAGGAATTCACCACAATAATCCCCAATCTTTTTATAGACAGCTTTTGATCTGAGGTGAGAAGGGATACCGAAAGCCATAATCCAGTTCAGGCCGCAGGGACGGGCAAAGCTTCTCCCATCTTCTTCCTTCCAAAACCTTACTATGACATTCCATCTCCTGTACTTAGTGAAATTAATTCCTTGGACTCTAATTGTCTCCGCCAGAGAAGGAAAGATCAACATGCAGAAGTCGCCCGTCTTCCTTGTGAACAGGAAATCGAGAGTCAGGTCCCAATTGTGTCTGGCCCATAATTCAAAATCACTACTCAAATCTGCTGGAACGCCTCTGTTGTGAAAGTCATGGAAAACCAATGACAGACAAGTACCCAAGAAGTGTAATCTATCTTCGACTCCTTCACCATCCAGAAAACGTAGAAAACCCTGATGTTTGAAACTGCAAATACCCGAGTCCAGGGGTAGAAATTGCCTGAAAGCATTACCAAAAGTCTTCCCAGGGGTGACCCAAGCATCACGAAGGCGGGGTTGACTTGGTAAAGGAATTTTACTCCCACCCTTTTGGAGTCCCATAGTCAGATCTTCCCATCCACTAGAGCAAGCTGGAATGACAACGAAGTACCTTTTGAGCTGGTTCGAGACTTCCGATAGTTTGATGAATAGGCTTCCACTTCTGAAGAAGCTATCCACCTGAATGGTTTGATTGGAGACTCTTCTCCAAAGCTTCTTATCGCAAAAGCAACCTCTCTTAATGAAAACCTCCAGGAGCTGGCTTTGCCAAGAAGCGTGATCAGGATCCAGAAGGATAAAGTGGCGATTTTTGCTAGGGCTAACACCATAGAATCTCTTCCATGGTCTTTCGTCTTAAGGAATTGCATTACTTCTTGGCCAATCAAGATATTTTCAATAATAGATCTTCCCTTTACAAAACCATTTTGATTAGGACCCACTATGAATGGTAATATATGGCTCAGTCTGTCCGCCATGATTTTTGCAATAATTTTGTAGAAAACTTGACATAATCCTATAGGTCGCATTTGTCTCATGTATACGACGTTCGGAACTTTGGTAATCAGGGTAATTAGAGTGTGATTGAAATTATGGAGGAGTCCTCCTGTGTGAAAGAAAGCTTGAATGGCCTCACATAGTGAGTTACTAATATCCTCCCAATAGGTCTGGTAAACAATTCCGGTGAAGCCATCTATACCCAGAGAAAGCCTATGATCGTGTAGAATGAGAATTTCTAATTAATGTAGAAAGTATTGGGATTCAGTGATCAATGGATTAAATGGATCCACTCTTGTATCACTACTGTCTCCTTCTCAATAATCTTGAATGGCTCAACTCACGGGTTTTTCAAACCTCAGAGGGGACTACGTCAAGGGTGTCCTCTCTCTCCATTATTATTTGCCATCTACATAGAGGCCTTTTCGGCTATGATCCAAGGCGCTATCTCAAACTATTCTCTCCATGGGATCCGCGTTCATAGGGAGGCTCCCATGACCTCTCACCTCTTTTTTGGTGATGACTCATATCTCTTTCTTAGAGCCTCAAGACCAGAAATAACAAATCTGTTGGGATTACTTCAATCATATGAAGCTGTAAGCGGGCAACGAGTTAACCTCCAGAAATCGGCCGTTACCTTTAGTTCCAATATCTCTGAACAAGAGGCTACAGAATTAGCAAATGCTCTAGGAGTCGCCAAAATAGGGACCCATGATCGATATCTAGGTATTCCATCAAGAATCCATCGATCTAAAGTCCTTACCTTTCGGTATATTGAGGACTCTTTAGCGGCTCGAATCCAGAACTGGAAATCTAAACATATGTCATTGACAGCCAAAGAAGTAGTGATAAAATCGATAGGTACAACCACACCAATCTATGCCATGTCAATGCCGAAGACTTAATAGTCAATTGGCCCGATTTTGGTGGGCTAACCAAGACAAAGACAAAAGGTATGCATTGGCTTTCATGGCCTAAAGTATGTAATAGTAAATTTGAGGGAGGACTGGGATTCAGAGACTTTGATCGATTTAACATAGTCATGTTAGCTAAACAAGCCTGGAAACTACTAAAAGATCCTGATAATACTATGGCAAAAATATATAAAGCCCGATATCACCCTAATGACCACTTCCTAAATGCGAGAGCTGGATCTCGTCCCTCTTGGGCTTGGCAAGGTATCCTTGAAGGGAAGAACCTCCTTAAAAAGAGCCTGCGATGGCAAGTGGGATCAGGGTCCTCAATATACACTCTACAGGATCCGTGGATACCTTCATATCGACCCTTCTACCCAATCTTGAAGACAGGTATGACCTTAGAAGGTCCAGTAGTTGCCTACCTTATCGATCCAATAACGTTTACTTGGAACTCTAACAAGATTCGATCTTTATTCTACCCAGCTTCTGCCGAACTAATTCTGTCCATACCTCTTCCCTCATATCCTAGGGAAGATAGACTCATATGCCACTATGATAAATCTGGTCAATATACAGTGAAATCGGGGTACCACCTTTTGACAAATGAAATTAACCCATTTCATAACAGTATACCAGACTACTTGGACACAAAATTTTGGAAATCATTATGGAGTATACCAGTGCCACCAAAACTGAAATTCTTCCTTTGGAGGATAGTTCGGGGGTTCTTTCTTGTTCGCAAAACTCTATAAATTCAAAAATTGACTACTTCGGGTGAATGTCCAGTGTGTTGTGAACCAACCGAGGACATTAATCATTGCTTTTTTGAATGTAGGATTGCAAAAGAGTTATGGATCATGGCTGGATTGGAACATCGTAGAAACTCAATGCGCTCCCTCCAACCAGATCTGGCATGGAAAAATCTATTATGTGCTACTCACATCTCCAAGAATGAGATTGCTGATACGGTTTTCCTATTCTGGCGAATCTGGAAAGGAAGATGCAAAGCTACTTATGCTTTAGTATTACTTCAAGCTCGAGTTTTGTTCAGACAACTAACAGCGCATATAGAGGAATGGCGAACGGCGGAGGGACAAAAAGCTCGGCAACCCACAGGTGTTCAGATATTAGCGGCGAACCCTAACAATCAAATAGGATCTCGAAGGAGTCATCCAGATGCTATATGCCCTAATAACGGTATCCTTGTTAGATTTGACGGAGCCATGAAGAAAAACCAAGGAGGCTCAATCGGATTTGCGGGATTCTCGAGAGACGGTACGTTATCCTTTGCTTTTGGTAAATATTATGAAGGTATTTCGGAGGCTTACATTTCTAAGCTTCTAGCTCTTAGAGATGCTATGAGATGGTGCTTAACACATAACTTTTTGGTGGTTGCATTTTGTGGCAATGCTCAACTGGTTATCAAGCACGCTATGGCAAAGAACGCTTCTCATTCTCGAGCAGGGTCTGTCTTGGAGGAAGTTCACTCCTTTTTCTCCTTTTTTGAGTCAGTATCGTGTCTTTTTGCTCCTTGGAGCTTTAACAGAGCTGCCCATGTAGTGGCTAATCAGGCTCTCTCATCGGGAATCCGCTTGCTTAAGGATTACCGCCCTTTTTTGGAAGCTACTTGTACTTGAGTCGAGTCTTTTGTCCCATGCCCTTTGGGCTTGCCTTGGAAAAAAAAAACACCCGAGAATCTCAATAAAGGGTTAGTGGCAGAAGAACAAGATTCCAAAACAATTGAAGTCCCGCCGATAGACGTTCTAGCGATCAAAGGCCAAGCCTGTCGAAGATGGACTCTTGAGGGCGAAGCATTAGCGGAATCCCAAATCTCCGATGCTGACCTGCAAAACAAAAAACCCTCGCCGGAACGCTCACTAGACCGCACAAAAACGTTCCCTCTCCCCTCTCTAATTAAATCTCTCCTCTCACTGACTTTCTCTTTCATCTCTCTAACAAAAAACGTTGCTAAAAACCGACCATCCAATTGGTGGATACTAACAATTGAAACCCACAAAAGGAAAAGTTTTCTCTCCAGCTATAAATGATGCGGCAAAACGGCGAAGGAGGAAGTGACGGGAGAGCGAGCAGCATTCTAGCGGAGCT